CCAATTCGGTTCTACCCCCTGCTTGTCAATTCGGTTCTACCCCCTGTAATCATAGCGCCGTTTTATTTTGTATGGGGTTTCAATTCGGGTCTAAGAAGAACCGAATTACAGTTTGTTGTGAGGCTAAATAAATTATAGCTAAGCAAGCTAAAGAAGTATCTTAAGAAGAACCTTAGGAAGAGATATATTTAACTATTATAATTACTAGTAGGATATCCTATTCTCTAGGTACTTAAGAAGAATAGTAAATAGAGAATGTATATTAACTATTAACAACTTAATGATATTATAATTAAGAATAGATATCTATTACTATTAATCACTAAACTCTATAATAGGTTATATAGCACTAATTAATTTACTATACTAAACCTACTAGGTGCCTACAACCTTATATATATTAAGAAGGAAGATAAGTGGAAAACAGCCTTTTATATCTATCTAGAATACTATAAGTATCTTATAATACCCTTTAGCCTTATAAATACACCTATCTTATTTTAAAACATAATTAATAATATATTATAGAAGTACTTAGATAACTTTATTATTATCTATCTTAATAATATCTTAATCTACTTTAAAATCCTAGAGCAGTATTAGAAGTATATCTACTAGGTACTGCAAGCCCTATAGGATGTGAATCTATTAGTCAACCTAAATAAGAGTTAGTTTTATATCTAGAAGATGGTTTATCTTAGATATTTAATTAAATCTAGATAAGTTTAGATAGATCTAATAAAATTAGAGGTAGTTAAGAACTGACCTATACTAATAAATATTAAGAAAGTATAATCTTTTCTTAGATTTACTAATTACTACTAGAGGTATCTAAAGGGTTATAAAGGGCTAATAATCCTCTTAACCAACCTTATAAAAAAAGATATTAAGTTTAAATAGATACTTAAGTGCTAGGTAGTGTTTAATTAAGTTAAAAGAAACATACTTAAGAAATCAGTCATATAAATAGCCAACCCTAATTGACTATATAAGCTAGAAATAGACGCATCTAACTATACCCTTAAAGGACAACTTAGATAACATAATAATAATAAGAAGCTCTATCTAGTAGCATACTTCTTAAAGAAACTATATAGACTAGAACTTAACTACTAAATCTATAATAAGGAACTTATAGTAATTATTAAGTATTTTAAAGAATAAAGACTATACCTAAGTAGTATATAATATCTAATTATAGTGTTTACTGACTATAAGAATTTAATATACTTTACTATATTAAAAGAACTTAATAAAAGATAGATAAGATAGGCTAAATTCCTCTTAGAATTCAACCTTAAAATTATATATTATAAAGGATCTGAAAATAGTAGAGCAGACATACTTAGCTAAAGGCTAGACTATAAATAGAAGATACCTATAGAAATATAAGCCATCCTATAGATATAAACTGATAGAAGTATAGAAGATATTTCTTAATAGATCATACTTATTAAACTTATTATATCGCTAGACATAGTAAGAGAATAAGAAATCTACTAGCAGTATGATAATAATCCCTATATTAAGAAAAAACCACCTAAGAGATTATTAGTTAGATATAATAGATAATTATACCTACCTTTAACCTTAAGAGAGAAATATATATAAGAAATACATAAGGCTAAAGCTTATAGGTATAAAGGAATTATATAGACTAAGGTAAGAGTCTAAGAAATATATAACTTCCCTAGACTTAATAGGATAGTCAGAAAGATATAGAAATCATACTATAAATATAATAATAATAAGATATTAAGACATCCACCTTATAGGGAACTACAGCCTATCCCTATATTAAAGCAACCTTAATATTTAATAGCTATAGACTTTATTATTAAACTACTAAAGTCTAAAGACCTAACTACTAGAATGAAGTATAATAGCATTTTAGTAATATTAAAGTGACTTACTAAGTATATATATTTTCTTCTATTTAATAAGTTATATATAGTAGAATAACTTATATTTATATTTCTATAAATAGTAGTAGCTAACTATAGAATACCATATAAAATCATTATAGATTAAGGACTAACATATATATTAAAATTCTATATATCCTTAATAGGATAACTTAGAGCTAATAAGAAACTGTCTATAGCCTACTACCTATAAACTAATAGATAGATAGAATATCTAAATTAAATATTAGAAGTATATCTATATAACTATATTAACTATAATCAAGATAATTAAGTAGAGCTATTACTACTTATATAGTTTATATATAATAATATCCTTACTAAAATAATAAAGGTTTTACTATTCTTTATTAACTATAGCTAAAACCTAGAAGTATATTGATAACTATAAGATAAGATTAATATAGAATCTATAATTCTTAAGGTAGAATATCTTAAGAAACTGTATATATTCTTAAAAATAGAACTTAAGTTTATCTAAGAATAAGTCTACTATTACTATAATAGAAAAAGGATAAAGGGACTATCTTTCTTAGAGGGAGATATAGTCTACCTACTATAGAAAAATATTATTATAAAGCAATCTAACAATAAATTAGACTATAAGAAACTAGAACTCTTTAAAATTAAATAGAGAATTTTAATATCTAACTATAGGCTATTATTACTAAAGACAATATAAATTCACCTAATTTTTTATATTTCTCTACTAGAACTAGCCTCTCTAAGAGTGTAACTAAAGAAACTAGTAGAAGTAGAAGTAGAAGAAGAAGAGTATAAAGTTAAATAAATACTTAAGTAGAGAATATTAGATAGTAAGTACCTAGTTAAGTAGAAAGGCTATAATACTATAGAAAATATCTAGAAACCTATTAAGAACCTAATATATTATTAGCAGAAGCTTTAATAGTTCTACTAATAAAGTTAAGACTAGTAGAAAACTAACTACTATCTAAGCTAAAAGCACTCTAGTTAATAGAGAAAGGATCAATCTCTAGAGAGTAGGCATCCTTAGTAATATGCTCATCCTTCTTCTCTAGCTTCTCTAGAGATTATATTCTATAATAGAATAAGTCTATCCTATAATCTTTTAAGAATTACTCCTACCTATATAGGTAGGATAGATAATTTAAAATTGTCTATAGCTAGATCTATAAAATAAATATTTCTACTTTAGTATCTAATTTCTTCTTTAAAACCTTTTACTACTTAGCTAGTATATAGAACACTAAAAGAAAAGTTAAAAATAAGAATAAAACCAGAAAGTATAAGAACACCTATAAGAAGAAGCTATACTTATATTATTATAAGACTGATCTTAATAGATATAGTTATTATAATAAGACTTGTCTTCTACTATATAATATATCAGATTGTTCTTAAAGTAATAAGAATATAGCATTACTTTAACCCTATAAGTGTCTATATACATACTAAGTAAGATTTATTTAGAAGTTTTTAGGGATTTCTATTTCTTCATACAACTTAAGAACATATTATTAAAAGGATGCCAGAAGAATTAAGAGGAGAGTTTGATATCTATAGTAGAAGTTTTAGCTCTAGGTAGATAGGTCTTAAGAATAGCCTTAGGTCATTAGGACATCGACCTAGGAGAGGGACATTATATTATAGAATCAACTGCTATTACTATAGGATATAGCCCTAAGAGCAGTTAGCATGATAAGATAGGCAGAAATATACAGACTATTAGATTACTATAGATTATAGTGATCTATTATAAGGACTTACTATAGATTATAGTGATCTATTATGATCTATTGTCTATATATATAGATGTATATCTACTCTTAGATATCTACTCTAGATAGCTCTTTAGTATTTAAAGTATCTTATTTAATAAAGTACCTTTAAGTAAAGCTATCTTAGCTATAATTAACCACCAATACTTAGCAGCATCTATCACTTACTGCTTACATAAACCCACACACCTCTAGTCCTATAAAGTAGTCTTATCTCTTAGGATTAAGGATCATTATATAAAGTATGATCTACTTACTAAATAAGAGTATTTAATATATAACAATCCTTAATCCTAAGAGGTAAGACTACTTTATAGAACTAGAGATATATAGGTTTATATAAGTAGTAAGTAATAGATACTGCTAAGCAATAGTAGTTGATCATAACTAAGATAGCTTCACTTAAAGGTACTTTATTAAATAAGATACTTTAAATACTAAAGAGCGATCTAGGGTAGGTATCTAAGGGTGGACATACATCTGTATATATAGACTGCTAGATCATTCTGGATCACTGAGCTAGAGTGATGGATTACTTGCGATCAGTGAGGATCACTGATCGAGCGTGATCGCTTATCTTATCTATTCTGCTGGTCCTGACCGCCCGGGTCACCTGCCCCGCGGTACCATGCCTTGATTTCGTGACAAAGGCTTCAACTACTATTGATTCTTTTTTGGTTTAAAAGAGCAAGACTTGTACTAGAAAGTGATCCACCAAGTATCTTGCGATAAGAGAAAATAGACACGGAATGAGTTCCCTCAGAGGCGATGCTGAATCAAGGCAGACAACAGCACGCAAGACTTGCGATCCGTTTATGCGGTGGTGGCGGAAGGCTTGGGGAGGCCGAGCGAGGCCGAATAGCAAGCGCAACCGTTCTGGGCGGCGGGGAAGATCTTCTCGACATCGGCGCGCGAGCACTTCTCGAGGGTGCAAGGGGTGACCTCCGTGCCAAGGGTCTCGAAGACAGCGCACTGGCATTTCAGGTCGTCGAAGCCGGTGCAGCCATACTTGGGGTACAGAGCCTGGAAGCACTCGAGGGCGCAGGTAGGGACGGCGGCGACGGCGTTGGCGGCGCACGAAGTGGCGGGAAGAGTGGTGGTGACGGTGACGCGGGGACCGCGGGCGGTTCTGGTAGGGCCCTGGGTGACGCCGAGGCACGAGCAGGCGGCGGAGTAGGCGTCGGCATCCTTGCACGCGGCGGCGTAGGTGGGGATCACCGAGGTGGAGGCCGAGGTGGCCTGGCGGGCCTCGACGGCACGGGCAGTGACCTCGGGGACGCAGCCACCGTCAGAGGGGACTTGAGTGTAGACAGTGGAGGTACGGGTACTGCCATAGAGCCATTGACGTCAGCACATCAAGTTTACTTTCTCGGGGCGCGACTCGATACTTCAGGTGGAGGTCGAGTAAGGAAGCTTACCGGGTGGTGGTCGGGGTGACGGTCTTAGCCAGGAAGGCAGAGCAGTCGGCCGAGCGGGCAGTCAAGGCCGGGAGACCAGCACGGGTACCGGTGACCTGGCGGTTGCAGTTGTTGCCGGGGCAAGCACGGTTCTCAAGCACGTGGCCGAAGGCCAGGCTGGCGAGGGAGAGGACGACGGTGGCCTTCATATTGGATGAGAGAGATTGTCGAGAAGTGACTTGCGTTGCTTGTTTGTCCTGTGATGTTCGAGGTCGGTGGTGAGCAGACGAGGGCAATTCAGGATCAATCGAGGGTGGTGGCAGCTCGCAGTTATATAGACGGAACAAGGTTCATGCAACTTAATATATTGGAAGTGGGAGAGCCGCACCAACTGGGTCCAAGCAAAAAGAAGGTAGGCGGGAAGAGATCCTTGGATCGGAGACAACGCGGTATGCGCTGGCACTGATGCTGGTGGTTCCTGCCTAGCCACGGCATGACCAAGCTCAGCCGATAAGTACAATACAATCAGATGGGATTACTGGGTTCATCCCGAGAGAGAAAGAAAGGACTAGCTCGACTAGCCTCATGCGCAGTCTGTGGGTTCTGAGAGCGGAGACACGCCGTCCCCGGTGGACGACGGGGAAAGGTACAACCAGGCCAAGGACCACCATCGACTCGATCTCCCAGTCCGCTTACGGAGATGCAAACGCAAGCCACCTCGTCCCATTTACGTAAATCGCACGTCTTGGGGAAAAAGAGACAGGCTGGAGAGTCAGAGGAAGGCGTCGCTGCCGATCCGGACCTTGTCGGGAAAGGGAGTGTGGGTAGCTGAGATAGAGGTGTAAATAGGGTAGTCACTAGTTTGAATAAGCTATGCTCTTGTCTTGGTCGTGGTGGCGCATCTCTTTTTGCGGACAAAGACATGGAGCTGAACGATCGCAACATCAGGATGTTACCGCTTGGCTCTCAACGGGGCGGCGTGGGGGGGGAAGGGGGGCTGTTTGGGGAGTCAATTCGTCTCTCCGACGTCGCTGTGATCTCAATCAAGGTACCGATAGCCGAGGAAGAAGACGTTGGAGATCAGAAAGTCAAACAAAGTCTCGGGACGGGTGCACCATTCCTAACCATTGTCTCAGTAATCGGGCGGAACGACCCAGCGTGCCACTCAGCCCATTGCACAACTTGGATAGACGGTTAGTTTGAATTAGCTGAATCCACAGAGCAGTGCCCGGGACTGGATGCTGCCCAGGTGGCATGTGGGACAACTTTTTTTCCTTTCTTTAGCTAGGTACCTACTTCTCGCAGTCGTGCTGGGAGGACAAGATGGAGGCGGTGCTTTTCAGCTCTTTGGATCTCCTGAGGCTTCGTTCCCGTGAGGTGCCCGAGAATTTCCTTGACCAGCCGGACCCTAAGCGAGATGCCAAGATGGTTAAAGCACAATCAGCTATAAACATGCAGAGTCACATCGGTCGAATATAGGAAGAATTGACGGCGAAGGGAATAATCAGTCCGGCTCGAGGCAGAAGTGGAAAAAGGGACCCAATGGAATCGGGGTGGAGGATCAGATAATTTTTTTATCTGATCCACCCCAGCGACTCATCTAATCTAATCAATCAGCATCTGATGTGCTGAAAGACCAAGCTGACCCAGATTTCAAGCTTGGTATGGGGCCTGGTCAAGCTAGCCAGACGCCTTTTTCTTGCTCCCGCCTCTGAGAGACAGCCCCGGGCTCTATGGCGGAGACACTCCACCCTGCAGACGAGGGCCATCCCGGGATCACGTTGAGGCTAGCATCAGACTATTTGCGGGATTTTTTCATGCTTTCTTTGATGCTGTAGCGCAATGCGCACTATTGCTCTCGTCCTGCGTCAAGGGTAGTAACGAGGAATGCACCCCGGGCCAGATTTCACACCGTCACATCTGCCAGGTACTTCACTTCGCATGATGTCTTTTGTCTGCCCAGGATGGGACCTCTTCCGGTCTCGGGCCAGCCACTCGTGGGAGCAATAACAAGGAAAGGGGATCGACTAGCCCGAGAAAGAGACAGGGCGGGCAGGGGAAGAAAACCCGAGAAGGAAAGTGATAAGCCACCTGCAGGCAGCAAACTATCGGTTTCTTCGGATTTCGGCAGGAAGGTCAAGCCCACTCGCTGCCAAACTCCCAGCAACCCCGCATCAGTCCGGTCCTGTGCCCGGATCTGCTCACTTTTTAAAGCCTTTGTTTTGCCATGGGGACAGCTCGAGAAGCAGCTGCAAATGTAGGGCAGGAGAGATCTGAGTCTTCACCATTATCTGGCAGATGTCCCTCGGAGTCTATAGAATTACAGAGTCTGCACGACCCATCGCACCTTTCTTCAGGCCAGCCACTCTAGCTCTGACATAGCAGGTCGTTCTGTTTCTCTGCCGATCACCGTTCCCGTGGCCCAACCTTGCGGTCTCCTGTGGGCCACGAGCGAGACATCCTCACCCCATGTTCACCCGCCTAGCCATGGCTTGGCTTTCCCGTTAGGTCAGTCTAGTTTGTCGCCGCTGCAGAGAAAATCTCATTTTCGTCCTTTTGCTCTCAAGTGGGAGGATGTTGCCAAGCTACCCATAGCAAACTCAGCCCAACCCAACCAAGCCGAACAGCCGGAATCCCACGGAACACGGTTGGTTCAGGCACGCAGGCACCAAGATTACATGACTCCAAATCACAACGGCAAGCGACCATTATAACAATGGTACCTTACACGCTAAGTACCCACGCGCTGAGTCTGTGACGCTACCGTGGTTGGAACGGTCGGCATGGTGGGAAAGCTCTACCTTTACGTCACAATGGTTGTCTCGTTTGCATCTTTGCCTGTGATTAGAATGAGCCGCCATCGCTGGTACACAGGCCAGAACTGCCACGGCACATAACGTACCTACCTACCTAATGTGCTTTTGGTGTGCCACACCAGAATCAAGGATCTTATCTTCCCGATCTTATCAATCAGGGCTTCTCTGGTCCAGTCGTCGCGCCCATGTACCCTTCCCACCCTCCAAGGACAGACTATTGGACCCACGAGGCGAGACAGCGCAGAAGCTCTGTTTAGACTACTCTTCTTCGCTTAGCGTATCGTATCGGTGAAGCTGGTAGAGCTCAGACCACGCTTGATCCTTCGCTTAGCTTCAGATCGGCACTGGTGATGTCAGGACTTACTGTATTCTCGTTTACGACACCCCAAACTTGACACATACGAGCACGCCCAGAACCTTTATGGCCGAGACCGCTAAGATTCTCAGGGAATCATGGCAGAAAGTTTTGAGATTTGGAAGAGATGTCGACTTAGGGTCGTCATGCATAACTTGAGGCCTCTAGACTAGCAACCTTGATGTCAAAGCATAGCAAGCTCGAGCTCTATTGCTTTCTCAATCCAGTCTACGATATCCAACTCTGACTAGCTGTAGGGGTAGACCAACATCGAGGTTGCTTGAAAAGTTCTGGTGATAGCCAGGTTCTGGTGATAGCCAGGTTAGAGCTTGGAACCCCATGATGTCTTATTTTCTATTGTTTACTAACCATGAATCAGATTCAAACAATCAAGACAGCAAACGCCGCAGTACCTCAACCTTCCAATTCTGTGTCTATGGCAATGACGCACCATTCGGTTGTTGCTTCTGCTGCTCATGCAGGTCCTGCTGTATGCCCCTGACTGTCCGCTCGTATACGTCCTCCGCGTGCTTGCGCGCATCGTGCTTAAACACCCAGTCCTCCCGCGGAAACTTGATGCTCTCCGGGTTCTTTTTCACGGCCTCCCAATCCGTCTTGTGCCACATATCGCGCGTCGACTCGCCCGTCTTTTGGACCTTTTTGACCCTCTCGTACCGTATCCGCTCGTGCGCGCGGACTGCCGTCGGCACTTCGGCAGGCCCGCCCCCGAGCCGCAGGCACGTCGCGATGTCTACGCCGTCCTCGAGCGCCTGCGTCGCGCCCTGGGCCGACGTGGGCAGGAACGGGTGGGCCGAATCGCCGAGCAGCAGGATGCGCGCGTGCTTGCTCACCCATGTGGGCAGAGGATCGCGATAGACGAGCTTCCAATCGACGAGGGAGGACTCGGGAGTCTTGGAGATGATGCGCGCGACCATCGGGTCCCAGCCCTTGACAGCGTCGATGGCCTCGGAGAGTTTGCCGGGGAAGCTCCATGACTCGTCGATATTGTGGTCATCTGGGTGGGTGAGGACCCAGCAGCAGTCGGAGCCGTTCTTGATGGTGCTGAAGAGGAAGTGCATGTTGGGGCCGATCCAGCCGTTGAAGGTGTCACCCTTGTTGCAGAAGTGTGCCGTTTCGGGGTCAGCGACCATGTCCTTGTTGGAGAACCTGTGATGTGTGTGCATGATGAGCATAATGGCACTAGTTGCAAGACACTGTGTGACCGTGTGCCAGACGTACCATGCCCGCCAGATAGCATAACCGCTGCTCTTTGGTTTGTCCTCATAGCCCAGTACGATCTGTCTCGCTTTTGAGCGAACACCGTCTGACGCGATCACGACGTCTGCCTCGATCTGTCGAGTGATCGAAATTAGCCGATCTCGTATATCTCCGAAGGCGATGATCAGCAGAAGCACTCACCCTCCTGCCATCAGCAAGCACAATCCCGGCCTTGGCCTCGTCCTCAAAGTACTCCTCTATCCGGTTCCCCAGGTGGATCGGTATTCCCAGGTCCGTCCGCGCATACTCGAATACAACCTCATGCAGCTCTCCTCTGTGGCCATTGACTGTCGGCGCGTCGGCGCTGTACTCATTGGCCAGCTGGTGATACGCCACCTCGCCCGTGTCGTACTTGCGGATGTTGAACCCTTTGTGCGCGATGCTCAGTGGCCTCATGCGCCGCGTCACTTCTCCAGCGCCCCAGCGGGCAAAGATGCGGCCCGCGTTGGGCATGAAGGAGATGATGTCGCCGAGAGTTTTGAGCTCGGGGAAGGCTTCGTAGATCTCGACGTCGTGGCCCTGGCGGTGGCACTCAATGGCGGCGCCGAGACCGCCGAAGCCGGCGCCGACGACGATGACCTTGATGCCAGTCGGGGCCATGCGGTCTGCCGCGATGGCGTCGCTGGGGCTGATGCTTCCCATCGTGGAGAGGGTGCGCTTCCTCAGAGGCACGAATGCTCCAGGTTAGAGAAGCAAAGAGAAAGGCTAAAATAGAGGCAAACGAGGACTCCAGCCTTGGACGGTTGTTGATGAGAGGACAACGACAGAGACTGGGGGGGAGATACGAGGTCTTTTCTATTCCCCAACATCGATTCTGAATCTCCAATTCCATACATGCAATTGTCTATCTTCTCATTGGCAAATCCCCCTCCCGATTCACGTCAATGGTCTTTGCAGGCAATCCGGGGTGCGGAGTAACTCGACCGACAGGGCGTCTTGACTTTGGGGTATCGGAAGGATTCGAGCGAAGCTGCGGGGTAAAACCGAACCACACTGGCAGGCTCACCATTCCGAAGAGTTAGCATTACATTGCTAACAGCGGCTACCCTGGCACGCACAGGATAATCTTTGGACCCTGCAGGTCTGGCCGGTCTGGAATGCCAAAGAAGTGGCGCAGAATTGCATTGCACATGGCCAGTTGTAAACGGGAGCATGGTCCCTAGATCGCGTCTGTAGTGCTTCTCCTCACACGGCGCATAATCCGTTGCTGATTTGACAAAAGACGTTGCGAACAACTTGATGTTCTGAGGTTTCAGCTGAGTACAAGTACCAGTACGATTACATTACGCTCGGTCCGCCTTGAACCGATCCGTAGGATGGACCAGACCGAAGATTCTTCCCGACACACTTCGGACAGAGATTTGGTGCTGACATCACCATCCGTATCTTCAATGTTTTGCGTGTGCTGTTTGGCTCGCGACCCCGATTTGCTACGGCGTTCGTCGACTCTTCCCTTCTTCTTCCCGATATGGATTGCGTAGACACTCAGAGTCCGACCTCCCCCAAAAGGACAGTCTGGCGCTCGAAGCTTGCAAGAAGAACGAACGCCGCTGCTGGCACCTGCGGCGCTGGCACAGGATGTCGCTTCCTCCGACCAGCCGTGAAGATTGAGTTCCCTTCTACTGACCCGATGAGCCGTTTCATCCCAGATCCACTGTCCTTGAGGCACTTTCTGTGGCCCGCGCGACCAACTTGTCCACCAAGCGGCGCACACCCTCTCTTCTCGCTGAGTCGCTCTGATCCCTCTCGTCCGGCAAAAAGATCTTGATTCTGCCCTCTGACAGCACAAACCCGCCACACGCTACCCGCGCAATATGCACCGCAGGGTGCCAAATGTCAAGGGCTATATGGTGCTTCACGTACGCCGCCAGTGCCGCTGTGAAAGGCTCATCATCCTTGTCAGCGGGCAGAGCCTCTCCTGCCGCGACAAACCGCCGTAGTCCCTTGCCTGGTATGATGATGTCGATTGTCTTGATCCCAAGCTCTTCCTTGTCCTCGGCACTGGCTGTCTCCTCGTCTGTTGCCCTGGCTCGGTTCTCCGCCGCCAGATTCCGGAAGCCCAGTGTGATGACTGCGTCCTTTGCCAACGGTCCAGATGACGAGACACCCACATCTTGTATCCAGCCCTCCCAACTCTGTATGAGATCTCGCGAGGATAGGCGCAACGAAGAGACGCGACAGTCGAATGTGCTGCAGAGAAAGTTGATGACGATTGCCTTGAGAGGTGCTGGCATTCGCAGTAGCAACAGTGATAATTGGACGGACTTGTCGTCGCCGTCTTGATCGTGGCTCTCTGCGGAAGGGAGCAGCAGCGCCGTGCTCGTCGCATTCTCGTACTGCAAAGCCAGGGAGAGACCCTTTCTGCCACTGCCACTACCACTGCCCGTGAGCCCATCGACGGACACCCACTCTATGAGAACTGTCTCGAGAGCGCCCGCGCTGCCCATTGTCGAATCCCCGCCGTCCAGGCCAACCTCGACGCCTCGGACGACATCGCCGACAAGTGTATCGCGTAGGCGACCCGAAAGGGTCCGTAGGCGGCCGGGCGTCAATGATTCGGCACCTATGTAGAGCGGTGATATGCGATGGAGGGAGAAAGTGGTGTTGAAGAAAGGAATCTCGTCTTGGGAGGAGACTTCGCCAGCGTCGTTGTCGGTGCCGGTGGAGGGGGGAGCCTGGGGGGAGGATGCCCGGGGTCGCGTTCGGCGGGACATAGTCGTGCTCGAGAGTGCTGAAGATGGAGGTCCAGGATAGAGAGATAGCTCAGGTCTGGCTACAGGTTGAGCAGAACTCCATTGTGGCCGCAGAATTTGGAACGACGCGTTGGGAGACGCGATGCGGTGACGGTGCGCTGACCAAGTTCACACTGTTTTTACGCACGGTGCGGCTGCAACCCCGTCCCCACTACAGGTACCTAACTACAAGCAAGTACATAAGTCGGAGGCCCACATCTTGGACCACCCCCCCCCCCGGGCCACCTCTGGACCATCAAAATCGCCAATATTCAGAAGTTGTTATTTAATTATAGAAGAATACTTATAACTTATAAGTTTTATTATTAAATAGCTTATTACTTATAGTATTTTTAAAAAGTACTAAAAAAAGTCTAATTATTATATAGAGACTAAAATCTTAAAAATAAAAACTTTTTTTATTTTTAATACTTTTACTAAGAAATTATATAGAAAAGTATTAAGAGCCTTTTTTAAAATATCTTATTAAGAAAAGTTAATAAAAATATTTTAAAAATTTATTTTATCTAATTATATAAGTTATTTATAGAGTAAATTATTAGATTATTTCTATATAATTTATATTAATAAGACTTTTAAAAAGCTAAAATTTACTAGTAAAAATAAAATAAAAAGTAAATAAAAGTACTAAAAATAATAATATCTTTATAATAGAATTAGACATAATTTTATCCTCTATATATAATTATATTTAATTTATAAGGAATTTATTGATACTATTTTTAATTTTATAACTATTTTATCTATTAAGATAGTAATGTTATAGGGTCAGGGTTTAATATGGGAAAAGTCCACTTTTAGGTGGTCCGGAGGGGGGGTGGTCCAAGATGTGGGCCTCCGACTTACACCACCATCATCCCAAGGATAATCGCCTTGAGCTCCACCCACAACGTCAAGAGTGTGTCTGAAGAGGCCTTGCCAGTACCTCCCCTCGGTTTTGTTTCTCCTTGCCCCTCGCGAGGCCTACTATGGTCAGGTTTGGATAAAAATGAACCATCAGATGCCTTACTCAAGCCCTTGTAGTCACTCCAGAGTCTCCCTCTGCCCTCGTGTACTTTGCGGGCTGTGGTTCAGGTCCAATATCTCCCTAACCTGTCACAGGCCGGCTTGACGACTTGCCCCCTCGCGCCTCTAGCAAGTGAACAATATGCTCGCTGACCCGACATGTTGCCAGATCAAACGGCGTGATCTTCCCAGACTGATTCACATCTGCCCCTCGCCGAAGTAAGGATGAAACCACTTCTTCGTTGCCTCGCTGCAGAGCCAGCAACAGCGGTGTCCGCTCCTGCTTGTCCGCCAAGTTCGGATCAGCTCCGTGCCTCAGCGCCATGTCCACGATATTCCGTTGCGACGAGTCGATCGCGTGCGTGAGAAGGGCGGGCTGTCCCGAGACTTGGCTTGATATTTGGTTCGGATTCGCTCCCTGCCTCAGCAAAAGCTCGGCGATGTCGAGCCTGGCACTACCCGAGGAAGAAGATGGGCCGTTCCAGACTCGAAACAAGGACTGCTCCAGCGCCGCCAAATCCATGTGTTTCGCGCCGCCTCGTGGCCCCCTGCGGAGGAGCAACTCGGCCAGCGCCTCCCTGCTTGTGGGCGGAACTTTGCTGTCGCTCAGCGCAGCCATAAGGGGCGGGACGCCGTAGATATCAGCCGTGTTGGGATCCGCTCCGCGCTCGAGCAGCGCCTGTGCCAGCGCGCAATCACCACCCTTTACGGCCGTGGCCAAAATGGGGTTGCCGGAGACGTCGCGTGCATTAGGGCTGGCGCCCAGCGCAAGCAGCTCGTGCACAAAGGCACTACGCTCCTGTTGAAGGGCCAATTACAAGAGCGGTGCGCCGTTGGAGTCTTTCGAGTCGGGCCTCGCGCCGTGGTGGAGGAGGACGCGAACGACCTCCTCACAGTCTGGACGGTTCTTGCGCTTCTCCAATGCAAGTACGACTGCAGGGCGGCCGAGCAGGTCTTTGGCGCGAGCGTCAGCCCCGCGCTGCAGGAGCAGTTCGATCCATTCATGTTCCGTATCGCCAATGACAAGGTTGATGAAGCATGGCTGACCCCATTCGTCCCTCTGGGTGGCGGCGGCGGCGCCGTGCTTCAGCAGGAAGTCAAGGGTCGTCTTATCATGAACATCGACTGCGTGAAACAGCGGCGGCTTACCCTTTCTTCCAGAGTTGCAAACCTTATGATCGGCTCCAGCGTCGAGAAGAGCTTGGGCAATGTCCTGATGACCTATAAAAATGGCGCAGATGAGAGCTGTCTTGCCCTCCTCGTTGTGTCCATTGATGTTGACCCCTTGTGTGAGCAAGGACCTCACTTGAGATAGATTGCCGAGCGTGGCGGCATGACAGAGCGGTACGACCAGGGGTTCTAGTCTGTTCCACAGCGTGGCAGTAGCAGCTTTGAGGGGACGGACCAGGGAGTCGAGAAAACCGCTAGAAGACTTGCTTTTTTCATCGTCGGCGACATTGCTTCCACCGCTCATGTCCTGTGCTCTTGCTTTCTCGGCCCCTGAGGTCGTTGCAGCAGATGAAGTCAACACTTGAAAAAAGGGAGGTGGTTCTTCATATGCCGGGGGTGTGTCGGTATCGAGTACCACGGTTGACCCTGTAGTTTCCCGGCATACATATGCCACTCGCACCGAAAGCAACTTTGCGTCTTCAGAACCAAGTTCTGCTTCTTGAGCTTGGAAGGAAGAACTAGGCCGAACGGGATCAGCCACTGACCTGAAACTCAAGCCATAGGGTTCAAGAACAGGGGTTGGGGCCTCACATCGAAACTAGCTTTGCTAGAAATACAAGAAACTTGGCGATGACATCTGAGAATGCTTCATATTGAGATATACCAGGTGTCTTTATTGTACGGGTTGATGTAGCTGTTCCCAGCTTCGAAAGCTACTTGATCAAATTGACGAGAGAATCATCGCACTCTGGCAACTGTGTCAAGATCGCAGATCGCACCTCGGGATGGATGACAGACGTATCACACAGCCGTCTCTGCAGTTCCTCGGCTTTCTTTCCTACCCTAGCCTTTGTAGCTTTTCCAATGTAAGGCGAAACTTTTGCGCTTGTATTTGGTTGGCTAGTGTGCCTCGGCTTAACAGGATGATTATCTCGCCTGCTGTTGATGATGCTCGACCGGCCAAGCTAGAGCAAGGGGTCGATCTCAGGCGGGACACCCATATTTCACAACGTTTGAAGTCTCCAGTCAGATAATGGAAAGGGTTTGAAAGTCCAGTATGTCCGAGCTTGCAGCTTGATGGTGAATATCCCCTGTACATGTGCTTAGTGAGGAACTTAAAAATGCATGGTGGTCGTTTGGGATTTATACGCTTTGTGTTCTACTAGCGGGCATTGATATTGCCATCAGCTTGCGCATGGGCTGATACGTTCAATGTCAGCTCTACAGGGGGCTAGACTCGCCAAAGATCAGCACGACCATAGCCATCCTGAGTTCTGGGGGTCCACGCATGTCTGTTGAGTTGGGTTTAAGCAGCATGATCATGAGCTGGGCGTAGTCTTTTGAGTATGTGCAGTGATCGCATCGTGTGACCCTCCTCAAGTGCTGGATAGAAATGAGCCCGTGTTGACCCTCCAATTAATTTTGACATTCAATGTTTGGCTGACATCCCCATCTACAGTTGCACCACAGTGTGCTCCTTGTCATCATACACATCATGCCTTACATTCACCTCACCTGAATAGATAACGAATATTCGCCCAGCTTGCTGACTTTCTGAACTTGAGAGCTGACTGGAAGCTGCCGGAAAGCTGTGCTGAACCCTGACTAAAGCAATACAATGCCAATGTGGCCGCAGTTTTGCGAAAGGAAGAGGCTTGGTTTCACCTATTCATGGTAGCCAATTATGGTTAGGTAGCAGCCCCCCAAGAATAGAGAGTACCATAGACTACCTGTGCAACTGCGAATTAAGGAGGCACTGGGGCCGCTGCAAGAAGCCCGATCAAAGCGTGACGCCAGCTTCAGAGTGTAAACTTGGATCCTCCAGCGAGCAGTGCCACGCCACAGAAAATGGTGAACTGACCGAGAAACTCATTTTTTGTTGCCGAACCTGGCCACTGAGCAATGCAAAAGAGATGGTCACGACGACCGAGACAAGATTCTTTCAAACACATTTATTATGATGTTGGACTCAACCCGTGCAGATCAGCTTCATTACGCATGATCATACGAAGAAAATAAATAGCAAGTAGACGCAATTAAAAAGAGCTACCGAGCTCTAACAGGTGGATCTACATGCTGTCGGTGGGCAATAGCCGTGAGCACAGTCGAAGCTACAAAGACCGAGATAACTGTCAGGTTCACCATCCAGGGGGCATCCTGCCGGCGCTACCTCCGGGCTCGAGACTGGTGTACCATAAGAAGTACAAAGGCAAGGGCCTGGTGGACAGTACCCGTGGTTGCAAGCAAAATCACAAAGACCTAAGAAGTTGCCGGATTGGCCTGGAGCGACGGTGCCTCCATTGCATGTCCCTGTCGTCTGGCTTGGTGGTGCCGAAGAGCTTGTTTGTGTGACCTTTGATGTGGTCGGGGACGTTGTAATGGTGGTAGTCGGACCAGCGGAGGTCATTGTCGTTGTCGGCGAGCTGATGCCCCCGCCATTGGCAGTTGTAGTCGCTGTTGAACCTCCAGTTGCTGTGCCCAAGGACGGCTTGGCCTCGCACGTCGTGACATGCAAGCCGGCGGTGAGTGATGCGAGACCATCAGTTCCTAGCGGGTCTGAGAAGCCGTCTGGTACGGTGCCGACGTATGCATTGAAATTGTAGATGCCGCAGATGCAGGTTTCCGAGATGTCCTTGAGAGATGTCGAGCTCATGACCACCTGAGAATTCCGCCTGAGCGAGAATGTCTGTTTCCCCGTTCCCATACGCACCTGGAATGCGGAAGCACCAGCTGGGGCATCGAAAGTCTGCGAGTTCTGGCCTGAGGTGACAGTGACTGTACCAGGGGACGTAAGGAGTGACACAACGAAGACTGCATCTTGCATGGTCTGGTATCCGTTAGGCCTGCCTTCGAAATAATTCCCGCTGTCATTATTGGCAGGGACCATGGTCGTGTCAGTCGCATCACAATTTAGCCCTGCTAAGGTTGGGCGATACCAGTAGACGAGCTGGTCGGATCTGATGTAACTGTTCACAGAAGTCGCTCCATCATGGTACGCGGCAATGAACGGCTTTGCCATGTCTAGCCACCCGTCATGGGGCATGTCGTTGGTCCACTTTGAGTTTCCATCGTCGTAATGTTTCGATGACAAAGGTCCAATGTAGTGAGATTCGCCATAGTCATTCCAAGTGATGATCTCGAGGTACTGGGGCCCATCCGATAGGATCTCGTTCCACCGATTCCACCACAGCAGATCTCCAGGGAAGACCCAGTTCTTACTATAAGGGACTTCAGGCCCAAAGTGTGTGCTGAACCAGGGCGAAACCGGAGCAATGTACGGTTTTGATCCTAGCCACGATCGATACCTGTTATCGCCATCTCTGACTGTGACATTAGCTCCAGCTGTGGGAGCTTTGTTGTTGCCGTTGTTGTCCCAGGCCATCCAGTTGAGAGCACCGTCAATATTCGCGGAATTAGATGTCTGGTCGGGGTGAAGGTTTGGAGCCCAGAAGACATCGATACCAGCCGCTGATCTCATAGCAGCAATATCAAGACCATCACCTGCAAAGGACGACGCGAACACCTTGTTGTTCACCTTGAGCTGTCCAGGCAGCGATCCATACTGGGCAATCTTCTGTCCCACGGCAGCAGCATCCGACGAGGCATGGTACCAATTGAAGTCAAAGGAAATGAAGACACTCATGCCATTGTTCGCTGCTGACTGGTAGGCATAGCCAAGTTGTGTGTCTGTGTACGAGTCGACGCCGATGTTAAGAGCAAAAGCATCAATGCCCAACGACTTTGCCCGTTGCATATCAGCATCATAGTCTGCTGCACTGGTTCTGTCACCGACAATACCAATCTGTGACCCCAAGGTCAGTGCTGCGGTCTGATGTCATGAGAATAGTGTTGCATACCATGAAGTGACAAAAGACCAGCCTGCCAGTTGCTGCTTTGGCATTTTTATCCTCTGTGTGAACCTCGACAGTACTACTGGATGCAGGCACGGCTTGTGTTAATGAAGCCGCCAGGAGGCAGGCCTTGGCAATGAGACGAAACCGCATAATGATGGATCAGCGCAATACTTGACTGATCAATCAAGCTGGATGAAGAGCTTGAGACATAACTTCACGCTTCTATATAACTGTTTCAACGGAACCACGGCAAGGCCAAAAAAAGGTAAGTGGTGGCACCATTGGGGAGAGGGGGGGGGGGGGGGGGGGGCAAAATAAAACCCAA